TAATAAATTTAAATACACTGAGATTTTCGGTTGAGTTGACCCTTTTCCCACCTTCCCAACTAAAAAGTTATTCATTTTTCCCTTCACCACCACTTTTTTTTCATCGCATTGAAAACTTTCAGCATTTCCATTTTACATGGATTTTTGCTGCTCTGTCTGTGGATGTGGTATTGTGTGGCATGATTCTTAATGCAGTTTCCTTGTTATCTGCCTGCCCTGCCTGCATTTGAATGCCTGCCCCGACGACTGTCTGGGAGGTTTGCCGCAAGAGATGCATGCAATGTGTGGCAGGCGGCAGGCAGCAGGCGGCAGGCGGCACTACCTTCAGGCAATTAGTCAAATTTCATTGGGTTGACTTGGTTGCGGCCGGCCTTTTGTTTTTATTTTATTTGTTGATTTTATTTAATATTCAGTGGAAGTGGAAGCGCAAGGGGCAGGGGCAAACTCGAAGACCGGTTTAGCGCGGCCCCTGACCTGACCTTTTCCTGCATTGCCCCTCCTTTGGGGGCTAACTCGTGCGTTCTGTATCGAAATCTTAATTGTTTGAAGCCCTTTTTTAGGGGGTCCGGGGGGATAAGGATAACTGCTTACAAATTGTTGAGAGAACATTTCGAATAGAGTGTGTCTACAGGTGATGAAAGCAATATGTTTCCATCTGTTCTGTTCGGCGCGTCTGTGGGGTCCCCTCTTTGTGTGTGTTGATTTTGCTGAAGTGTTTGTGCCCCTTGGCGTGGCATATCCGTAACGCAGCACAAAAGGCATCGCTGAGGTCAGGAAAAAGGTTTTATTTGGTCATGGGTCAGCATTCGAATTCAAATTCAAATTCGATTTGGTTTCCTATGAGCATAATGAAAAGTTATGTGATAATTTCTGGCTACTCATCATCATAACATTTTTGGGGTGGGGGGTGAGGTGTGCTTTCTTCTTTTTATTCTATTTTATTTTACTTTCTTTGTTTTGTTTATTTTTGTGGGTATAATTATTACGAAAAGGGTTCTGTTCTGTTCTGCTGGTGGGATCTGTGCAGGGTTTTATTGTTAGCTGGATTACTTCTTTATTTAGGGAGGGATCAACGATTTCTGAGTGCCATTAAGATATTTTTAAGAGGATTTTAAATGATTTGGAAATAATGTAATAATGGAAATGTTGATTAGTTCTCCCATATGCTTTTATTGTGGCTGTGTTTTGAGGGATTAGATTGATTTTTTTCATGTAATATTTCACTACAGAAAATGCACAATATTAAATTATAATAAATATAATCATGTAGCGAGCATTCAAGCGAATTTTGATGGAGAAATCAAGCTAAATGCTAGCCTCACTCTATCGACAGCTTTAAAATGGCAATTGCCACACATTTGTAGCTGTTTGTAGTTGTTGTTGTTGTTGTTGTTGTTGTTGTTGTTGTTGTTGTTGTTGCTGTTGCACATCCTGCAACCATATGAACAATTATGTGTTTGCATTGGCAGCAGCCAACAGAACAGCCAACAGAACAGCCATTCGAACGTCCAGCCAACGTCCAGCAGCCGCCTGTAGTCGGAGTCGGGGGCTAAAGTGCATTCGATCGAAAAGTTTTCATTATGCTCCATGCCACGTAGCCACGTTGCTGCTACTACTGCTGCTGCTGCTGCTGCGATGGATCCCTTGCAAGCCTGGGAACGTACCCAATGTCCATGGAAGCGGAGAGAGAGAGAGAGTGAGTGAGAGAGGCTATCAACGCTTCAGTTCATTTATTTGCAGAATGTACGTACCACCAATGTACGACGAGCGTGTATCGGTGTGGCATGCCCCTGCTGCATTGCGCGTGGGAGTGTGTCGGCGTGTGTGTCTGCGTGTCTGCGTGTCTGCCATTCAGTCAACTATTTAGCACTTGCACAGTGGGGTAAATTGTCCTACGCACAGAGCCATGAAATTGAATTGCCATCGTCCATAGTCCACCGAAAGAAAAATGATGAGCCTGAAAAATGCTGAAAAATTGTGCCACAAATAGGGAAAGAAACATTTTTAAATAGAAGAAGGGATGCCCTGCCTTAGAGCAAAGCGATTATTTATAAATCTAAAGTTACTTTTCATAATGCTACACTGCAGAAAAAACACCATAAATTGTTGTTGTCCTTTTGTACAAAAATTTCCGATTGAACTTTCCGCACCCATCTACCAGCCTAAGCCCCCCTCAATCCCCTTTTGCTATTTGTAGGGTATCCCCACCGGTATAAATAAATAAATGAAAAAAGCAACCATTCATCCGTTCATTCATTCATTGTAGGGGGCATAAAGCCAGCCAGCTATTAGGCGTGTCATTTGTAAGCCGATTAAAAAAAAAAAAATACAGAAACAGAAACAAGGCTTCGAAGGCAATGTTTTTTACACAGTCGATTCTGCTGCTGCTGCTGATACTGTTCACATTTGAAGGATAATTATAATAATTATTTAAGCGTGTCGAAAAAGAGAGTTACAATCAGTTTTCCATTTGCTGAATGCCCAATCTGTGTATGGCTCTCTCTATATATATATATTTCTGTGACTGTGTTGGGCAGGTCTAAATGACAGTTCAATAATGACCACAAACTGGGCCAAACGATTTCCATAATTTTTGCCACATTGGAAATTGATTTTCAATATCCACTGATTTTTGGCATAATTTGTGTGCAATATATATTTTATTCATATGCCTGTGTCAAGGACTAAAATCAGATTTCGAGTGTTAATGGAAGTGTGAATTTGAACAACTAAGGGGAAGGTTAATGAAGGGGAATAAACAGTAGATGCCACATGCAGTCTACGGGAAAATATTTTATTTGTTTATTTATTTGTAAATTTGAATTAAATTACAAAATTTCATTTGTAAATAATGTCACAATTTCCACATCATGTCTAAAATTTTCCCACTCTACTGAAGCTGCAGCTAAATAAGTCTGAGATTTTTTTACGATTGTAGTGGCACTCATAAACTCATAAACCAGCACAAAGAAAAGCCCAAAGAATTCCCATAGCCCCCCCCGCATTCGTGTGGTTGTGTTCGTGTTGGCGTTAATAGGCTTACTTTTTATAAAATAAATCGAATGGATGCGAAAAATATGTTAAGAGATTGATTTTGATGCTGTGATTGGAATAGAAAGCGTTGACAAAAGTCCACTTTTTATCGCCCTTTTTATCCCTCACTCTCTCGCACCTTGGGAACGGACCCCCAGCATCGCTTGCATTTCTTCAACCAACCAAATCTTAAGCGCATTAGAAATAAATTGAAAAGTGGGTCCGAACAGTAAGATATTCCCCTGCCCCCAGCACGCCACTCAGGTTTTGGTTCTGCTGAAAAGCTGATCTGCGGGGCAGCATTTCAAATATCTAGCTGCCATAGTCTCCAAAATGCAGTCTAGCCGAAAGAAACTCAACCTTAGAGAATATTAGAGAATATAGTAAAGCCAAAATGAATTTTCAATTCTCAATGTGAAAAGCGGAAAAACGGAAAAACTCTTCAAACGTTTCTTCGAAGGTTTTGTTTGGTTTTGTGCTCAACAAAAGTTGAGCAGCATTGTAGAGCAACATCTATGTCTTCTGTTGGCAACATATTGAGACGCTATTATTTCCCCTTATCGTACATTATGTTGCAACATTACCCCTGCATGTTGATACAGTGCTGAGAAACATTTGCTTTGCAACAAATCTTCAGCAACAAGCTGCAACAACACTTTCTCATGGAGGGGAAATCGTAAGTTTGAGTCTGCAACATGATTTGGCATGTTTCGTTACTCAAAATTCTCGCCAGATGTCGTCGTTACAATTTTACATCTGTGTGTTTGCCATGTAGCAGAACTTCAAGCAGCAAAACTAGGTTTTTAATTTTTAATCTTTAAGAATTCATTTAAAATTTTTCTAGTTTTTAATTTATTTCTCACCATTTTTTCAAAAGAAAAGAAAATTATCTGATGCTGTTAGCAACATGTAAGGTAGCAAAAAAATTACCCCTTCGTAAGATTCATGCTGAGAAATACTTTCTTATCAACAGATGTTGAGCAACAGTCACCACAACTTGATGCACACTTTCCCCTTTAGAGGGGAAATCGGAAAACTAACTCAAATGGCACTCAAACTCTGCAGCACTGATGCTGGCAGCACTTAGAACATGTTGCTGGCAACATTGAATCGCGCATGTGAGACATAGAACTTCATGCCGGTATTAATTCTAAAGAGATGCATTACTTATGTATAAATCGAGCATTAATATTTAGAATTAATTATTCTTCCTTAAACATATACTCGTATGTACATAAAAGATTCGCTATATTTTTCAATCGCTCAGTGAAAGCTTCTTTATTATGTTTTGTTTGCGGCAACTGATATCAGAGTAAATGTACAATTACCAGGAATTCCCTCAATAAAAATATTTTGATTTTTAATCAAAACAATCAAATATTGGCAACAGATTGCAATGTTTGTGTTGCAATATTGGAACTGTAGCTGTGCTGTATTTGATCGTAATTTCCAATAGATTTGATAAGATGCGTTTGTCTATTGGGCTATAAAAGGGTAAACCTTAGAGGAGAATTATCAGAGTCTTTGCCTGCTTGGGCTTTCTTTCCCTATGTGGGGCGTATAACGTAACACCAATTATTGGAGATGGTAATATACATATGTACATATGTACAATATTAGTATTTGCAAGTGATTCTCTGACTGCCTAAACATACTCTTATTAGATTTTTACCCGTTCGTGAAGATCGGCAATGGGTACTATTACATTGAGAATAATAATAGAGCGAACTGGTATCAGGCGTATTTAGCTTGTCGGAAAATGGGCGCCGAGCTAGTCAGCTTCGAGACCCGTGAGGAGCTGGACGCAATGGATGCGTATATACCTATTGGGTACAGGTTGAAGCAATACTGGAATACAGGGCATGCATGTCTGGTTCTGAAATGCTGAGCCCCTTGCTGACGACGTTTGGTATCCCGGAGAGCCAAATGATAGCGGTGGCAACGAGAGATGCGACATATTTGTATATAAAGGAAAGAACGGCACTGCCATAAACGCTGCGGTGTGCGAGAGGGTTGAGCTATATATCTGTGAAGTTCCATTGCGAAGGAAGTGTCTTTTATATGGTAAACTTTACAGACTTATTTATATGTATGTATATGTACATATGTACAATAGACTGCTACGCAATGAGAGCAATATTCTACAGGAATGCCCGATAAGTATGAATTGAGTCAAAGTGCTTCCAAAAAGTATTGGTTAAATGATCTGATAAATGCTCTGCCCACTGATTAATTATGAATTCGTTTAAACTGGCATGAACGATTAGGTGTTCCAGAGAACCATAAATTTGCAATCATAAGATAAGATAATGGCATGGCATAAAAGAACTAGCTACTGGGCTAAGCGACGCAGTATTGGCAAAATGTTTGCAAGGTTCACTTTATGTCTGGCCGCCTTGGGGCTGCTCTCCCTAGCTGGAGCATATAATATTACATCACATGTGGTTGATGGTAAGAATTATTATCTTATTACTAATTTTATTATTATTAACTTATTATCGTTGAATTAGGAGTGCCTGAGGACCTAAACATAGCTACAGCCCCATTTGTGCAGATCGGCGATGGATACTATTACATTGTTGAGAAAGAGTCATCGAATTGGTTTCAGGCTTATTTAGCTTGCCATGAAATGGGCGCCGAGCTAGTCAGCTTCGAGACCCGTGAGGAGCTGGACGCAATTGATGCGTATATGGGACCCGCTGACGGTTTTTCTTTCTTATGGACTTCTGGAACTGATGCGGCAGTTAAGGGCGAGCATGTCTGGTTCACGAGTGGCGAACCTTTGCCAAGCACTGTTTGGGGTTACGCTCAGCCAGATGATCAGGGTGGTAACGAGAGATGCGATGTTTTAAATAGAACTGGTGCTGTTTTGCCCCGCATCGACGATGCGGAGTGCGGAAGGCGTCATGGGTATATTTGTGAAGCTCCTCGCCCGAAGACAGCCTCCTTCGTTATTTGGTAAAAATAAATTGCATAAACGAGTGTCTTAATTCAAACGAGTATCCAGTACTATGTACGTATTTATATCGGGTAGGAGGGTGGGTGGTATATGGACAAAGCAGAGTACACATCTCTAACAATTTCACTTGCACTTATCATGAGAACATATCAGCAAGAATCGCAATGTATTGAATGGCAGATCGAACCCATACAAGAGGCGCTTCAATTACGATTTTATATTTATATTATATTATTTATATTTCTAGGCTGGCCCTATCGTAGTCTTGGTTCATGGTTTTTTTTTTTTTTTTTTAATAAATATTACTGAAAGTCGAGATTAGATCGAAAAAGTTAAACTCAAATGCATTAAATATTAAATAATATTAAAACGGCCTCTGTCGGATGCTTTTTGTAGGTGGTCGCGCGCCTATTCACCACAGATTAGTCGATTTTCTCGTCAGGTGTTGCCTTTGCGATTTTTACCTCTGTGTAGTTGCCATGTAGCAGAATATATAGTACAAAATTCACTATTTAATTTTTTATATTTTTTATTTTAAATTTATTTATTGGAATAAATTGGTTCTTCTTTAGAAAATTATTTCCTCTTATATTCATAGAAAAAGAAAAATTTTGGTAAACGGCTTAAGCCATATAAAAAAAACTAAGTTATTAACTCCGCTTAAATTCTGAAATAACTAAAAGTTCCTTTGAATTTATTACACGAAAATTGAGTTGCAACTTAAGTGACAAGCAACAAATATTGTCTGCACTCAGACCAATTCCCACACTAATTGCTTGATTTGTTGGAAGTATTCTAAACGCTTTCAGAAAAGACCTCAAACAAAGAACAGAATAGCCATTCTTCAGCCTAATCCGCCAGCCCAGACCCTAATTACTCACATCAGAGATAAAGAAAAATGTATGAAAGATGGATTCTTCACGGTACAAGCCATCTAAACAAAGCCAAAAATCTGTTTGGTAATCATCTTTTGAATTTCCTGTGCTGAGCAACAAATGTAGAGCAACATGGGTTTGATGTTGATGGCAACATGCAAGGAAACTTTACCCCTTCGTAGGATTCATGCTGAGAAACACTCAACGTTGTTGGGAACATTACCCCTCAATGTTGAGACTCACCAAGCAACAAATGCTGGCAACATAGCTCATTGTGGAGAAATTTAATAATTTTACTCCAATTTCAGCTCTTGGAGGGGAAATCAAATTTCACTCAAACTCAGCAGCAAGGCTGCTGGCAGCATTTACAGTTTGTTGCTGGCAACATTGAATCGCGCATGTGAGACACGAAGGCCGTTGTTTTCAGCCGATGGATTTCCGCTTTTCAAGTTTTGACTTTCGACGCGAACGGTTCGTGCCACCGGTAAGAGTGAAAGCCCCAAGACCCAACAGAGGCCCCAACTACACTGCGCTGAGCCCTTGCTTAGAACTTCATGCCGCATGCCGCAAGCTGTTCCATGCCGCATTCGTAACATTTCGCGTGTGAGTGTAGTTTCGGCGTGTTGCAATGATTGTTACTGCAGTGAAAGTGCAACAACAAAATATTAAACACGAAAAATAAATATTTAAAAAATCCAACAATACTAAAAATATATAGAAATTATTAAAAAAAAAAAAGAGAGAAGAAACAAAAAGTTGGAGATCAAATAAATAGAATTACAAAAACCAAAATCGTGATAAAGTGGAAAAACTTAATAATACAATATATAAGAACATTATATAATGATCAAAAAAGCTTGATACAAAAAAAGGGATAATATTTGATGATAAAAAAACAAAGCTCGATCATTAGGATACAAAAATATCATTTAGAGAATTTCAAAGGATATATAAAATCAAATATTATATAAATATAATTTAAATAAATTTCTTTGCGTTCCAAACTGAAACAGAAATCTCAACATTCGTTGATATTCTGCTATGATTTTCCGCTATGATATTCTGCATTTCCAACAAAATTTTCAATATTTTTGATATGGATAGAAAAACTTAAGCATTCTTCAGAACCTTTTGCTATTTTTAATACTCTTGATATCCCTTGAAATGCAACAGAAATTTGGATTCCTTGGCTCTGGATTTTCTGGGAATTGATTGCTGGATCGAGTATATCATAAATAATTCCAATGGAAATGGATTTTTAGATTGTAGAAGCTGCGAAAATTCTGGAATTATTCGATTTTCATAGAACAAAATAAAATAGATAGTAATTGCGATTAAACTTGAGTGGATTTTCTAGTACAAATATTTTCTAAAACGAACATAAATCACATACAACATATTAATAATTTAATTCCCAAACCCAATTCCTAACTTTAGCTAAACACCAATTAAAACATTTAAACACAAAAAGATGTAAAACATTTAGAACCATAAAAAAAAATTAATTGAAGTACCGGAAAAGAAAGCCGCAAACTTCCGTTCCCCTTTGATCTTCGCACGAAAACGAGATACAATAAAAACATATAATTATAATAAATACATCATAAAAAGAAGGCGCCCACCACCATTCAAAGGATCCCCGGATCCAAAGGAGCAGCCGGGATAACTTTTGTCGCGTTTTCGCGTTTTTCCTATTAGAAAATCCCTTTTACGCGCTCCAGCATCCAACAACAACAAAAAGAAAAGAAAAACAAAACAAAAGCGAAGAAAAACCAAGAAAAATCCAACAAAGAAAAAGGAAAGAAAAAAAACGAAGTGAAGGGAATTCTGCTGCACGTCTTGAAAGTTTTTTGTGTTCCGTGTCCTCCCGTATCCTGTGCGCGGAGCGGCAAACAAAGTAAAAGTTGCAGGCGAAAGTTGTTGTGCAACGTGTGGCAAGTGCGGCAAGTGCAGCAGCAGCAACAGCAACAGCAGCAGAAGCAGCGGGCAACTTTAATTCGATTTTAGTGTAACAATCAGTGCAAGAAATAAAACAACGAAAGCCCGACTCACCTGCCTGTGTGTGTGTCTGTGTGTGCGTGCCACGCGCGTGTTCATTCGTGCCACAGAGTCTCTGTGTGTGTGTGTGTGTGTGTGTGCACGAGAACTGGTAAAGTGGATTAGCAGCAGCAGCAGCAGCAACTGTTCTTTCTTCCTCTCCCGCGCCACAGCTCTTTGGATGCCCATGTGCGAGAGCGTGGTATCAAATCTTTCATCTACCGACTGGGGTATGTCACTTAATGCACTTACATTACATTTGACATTAGGGGTACTCGTTAGGGGTACCCTATCCATAGTTGTAATTCATTTTATGTTAAAGGAGGTGTCTCCGGCACCAGTAAAACTTTTCGAACACAGACAACTTTTTTCTGCAAGTTTCGCGTCGCGAAAAAGTTTATTAAGAAAAGGGTGCAAAGGGCAATTAATATTTATTTATTTAATTAACAATAATAATACAAAAATAAAATAATAATAATAAATAAAAGGAGAGGAAAAAAGAAAACAAATTAAAAATATAATATTGCTAAAAATCAGTTAAAAAGCAATCATTTTAAAGGGACATTTTTGAGCCGATATCTTCGTTTTCTATCCATATTTAATTCGGTTTGAGCGGCTATTTATAACTTCTAGCGAACTTCTACCGAGCCTCTACCAATGGATGACATTCAGGACTATTTACAGCAAGAATAATGATATCAAAACCCGACATTTGCTATTGCTGCTGCCATAAATGAAACCAAACTAAGAAGCAGATGGTCCATAGTCCGTATATTCCCTCATCTATCTACTCATATTCATTCTGCTCTCTGTCTGGAATACCTTTTAAGCCCCAAGACTCATAAAAACCACCTTAAACCCCAACCAAAAAACACCTTTTAGCCGACACCCCACTGCCTCTGACAAGCTTTTATGAACGTCTGGAACGAACCCCTTTTTTTGGGCCAGAACTGAAACGAAACTGTAAATAGTTTTCTGAACTTTAAGCCTGGTAAATGTTACATTACACACATTCTTTGCGTGGGGTGCGGGGGCGAACAGCAGAAAGGACAATGAAAATGCAGAGCCCAAACGTAGCAAAAGGATCATCAGGACTTGAAGAAGGCAGAAGAGACATACAGATATACAGACACACCGTCACACACCGCACAGCACAGCACCCACACAGGCGAAGGCGACAATTCCCGACATTCTCCACATTGTCTGCATTTCCTTTCGTGTCGCACCACCCCTCTCTGTGTCTGTCTGTCTGGCTGTCTCGGTGGACTCTTTTCAACTGTCGTTGACTTTTTGCATACTTTCTAGCCTTTTATTTGCTTTATTTTATTTTATTTTATTTCATTTTATTCTGATTCTGATTCTGAGTCTCATTCTCATTCATTCAACAAAAACACACATTTTTCAATGCTTTATAATTTACTTAAAAGAGTACCCGACTGCGGAATACACCCGTCTTGCCCCTCCCTTCCTTCTCTCACCCTGTCTCTCCCCTGGCATAATTCCCATTGTGTGTCTGGAACATTTTTAGGCCTTTATGAAAAGAGCTCTCGACATTTCTCAGCATCTAAGTGTGTGTGTGTGTGTGTGTGTGTGTGTGTCTATTTGCGTGCGTCTGTGTGCGTTTTAGATTAGCTTCACTTATTAGGTTCTCCCTTCCGACGGCAGTCTGCATTTGGATTTGGATTTGAATTGGGACTCAAACATCTGATCTGCCCCATATGTACGAGTATTTTTATGGCAACTTTATTGGGGCGAAGCAGATTGGGGGGCATTCTCCTTTGCAGCTTTACGCTTTACCATCCAAATGGTTACAGGTAAAACCATAAAGCAATCTTTAGAGCGTGTCATATTTAGAGGGTTCTTCTTAGAGGTTTCCTTTGGATTGGTTTCGTGATTTATTGTTCCATTTGTGGGTAGAGAAAAGTTATATTTTAATAGTTCTAGGAGGCACTTATGTTCGTAGCTTTTGTGTTCCGTTTAGATAAGTGATTTTAGTGGGTGATTTTGAGCAAAAGTGTGTGCGTTTTATGGGGGATTATTTGCTAAGAACTGGATGGTAAAAAATATATTCAAATAAATTCTGCTAAAGGTAAAATTTTCTCTTCAAACTGGTATCATAATCAGAGTCTAAGAGAGCCGTTTTAATGTGATATTAAAAGTATGAGAGGTTTTATCTAGAGATTTTGCTTAAAAGAAAGCTAATGGCTACGTTCTCTACAAAAGAAAAATATTTAGAGAGCGCTACCGGTGGAAAACCAGACCCTATGGAAAGGTGCATATATATTACTTGACTCACAGGGATCTCCTGCTTCTAAAGCGATATCTTAGATCTCTTGGCGTATATAGTGAACTCTTCTGCCTGTAGGTATCTACTCCACGTACATTAAAATCATTTATCTACAGAAATTCTGCTCCTCCTTTGGCGCACACACTCCTCCATTTATTCTACGTAATCCCATCCACATATAATCTCAATAATTCCCTTTCCAAATCGTATTAAAAATAAAACTTCTTTGTATACATATTATATATCTTTTGAAATACAATCTCTGTGAATCGCTTCCCCGTAAGCCATCCCCCCATCATAAGCCAATTATCGTCTTATAAAGTATATCCGCAAAAGTCTCTTCAATCTGAAAAGCAGAGCAGCATTTATCGAAGCTTTAAATGCGCTTTAGCTGAGAATTTCGGGGTCGGGTCTTATGGTTTGGTTTGGTTTGGGGTTGGTTTTTTTTAGGGGATTCCAATTTAAAGCCAGAGGGAGAGGGTGGTAGGGAGGATGTTTCCCTTCTCTTCTCTTCTCTCTATGAAAAGACGGATGCGGTTAATGCAACTGCTTAATGGCAAAAACTTCCATCCCGAAAACTCCAACTCCCGCCAAGGCAGTAAATTATGAAACTGCATGGAGGGAGTCTCTTGGCCCTGCCCCTCTGCCTCATCCGTGAAGTTAAACACTTGAAATCTGCCACGAAATCAAAGAGCAGACTCTCGTAGACCGCCAGACATGCGAACCGTCTTTCGAGTGCCCCACGGCCCCAGAGGAACGATGACGACGACAACGACGACGACGATGAAGTTTTGTGCAAGTTGTTTGGAGTAGCACCACCAAGTGGCAGTGGGGGCAAGGGAGGTGCACCTGGATACGGTTACCCATACCCGTATTCCTCCCTCCATATTCCCTGACACACATATTCTTTGGTGAAAATTAAAAATAAAATAAAGAACGTCGTGGGTAACATCTTCCACCTGCAAATGGAACTTTACTTTTTAGCACTCTGTCTCCCTCTCTCTCTCTCTCTCTCTCTCTCTCTCTCTGTCTGTGTCTCTGACCATTTTTAGATTTTATTTCACTTTTGGCCTCCACACACACACACACCTGCAGGACGAGGCCTGAATGGACTTGTGCCTCTGCATCTAGCTCCCTTTTTTCCTTGGAACCCCTTTCCCTTCCTTTGCCCGACTACAAATAAATCTTTGAATGGCTTTAACATGTTTTCAAGTTTCAGTTTCGTGTGCGCGTTCGCTCGTCTCCTCCTGTTCTGCGTTGATTTATACATGGTAAATAATTTATTGGTCGGAGCGCAGGAAATTCTTTCTGCTTTTCCTCAAAATGCAAGGAAATGGTTTTCACTCTCTCTGTGTGTGTGCGGACACTGCGGCTAGAACGAATTTTAAGTGCCCCATAGATTTCTTAATGGATTTTTTTTTTTGCTGCTGCTAGATGTTGGTGGGGATGCGACGGAATGTGCCGCTGATTAAATATTTTTAGGGGGCATAAATTCTTTATTTTAGAGGCAAATTGATTTGTCGGGAAGTTTAGGCGCGAAAAGGAATTGTTTTGTCTGGCTATTTGGGTATAGAAGAAATTTATGAAAAATTCAGTACTTTTTTTTTTGGAAAATAATTAAGTAAATTTTGGTTACAATTTCTGAAACTTTTTCTTTTAATTTGTTCTTAAATTGTTCTAACATTTTTTTCCCTTTTTTTTATATCTTTGATTTTCCTTATTTTCTTTGAATATTTCTTGCTTGTTTTTTAAATATTTTTTCATCTTTTTTCGTACCTTTAAGCACAGATTTTCTCTCAGTGTAGTATGCCAAAATACTTGAATGAAATTCATTGAAATCGAAACGGCATCAGAGTTCAAGGGGAGGATGGAGGCAGGCAGCAGGCAGTCAGCCGGCAGGCAATGCTTCGATTACTGCTTCCTTTCTCACCTCTCCCGTAATCCCTTTCCCAATCATGCTGCCACTTGCTCCCTCCTCTCTTGTTGCCCCTCCTCTCATGTTTATTCCGTGCCTCGCGCTGACTCTCTGCCCCGCTCTCATCTTGATTCCGTTTGACATGAGCGACGAGACGTTCGACGGAACTGTCGGCACTATTTGAAACTTATTGCTCGCTCGCCTGTCAACGGCAACATCGTCAAGTCGAGAAGGTGAACGGAGGAGCCCAAAAAGGAACCGGGGATAGATGGTTGGGTAGGGATCCCCCCTGGGATGGGGGGTATTTTTCTGTTTAGATGACTGCAAATTCGATTGCGACTGCTGCAGGGGGCAACAAGTTTCACCCAAAACCAATTTGTTGTTCCCCTTCGCCCATTTGAATATTTCGAAATTCTGATAATAAATAGATGTATTTCAATGGTGGAGCGGAATGGGGAATGGGGCATGGTGGTGGCACGGGCTACCTGTGCGTGGGCTTCAATCAAGCGTTGCACTCTCCCAATGGATGGCCACAAACACAGAGCTAGAGAGAGCGAGAGAGAGGGAGATCGGTGTAAGAGTCGGAAACGGAATGGGAGTTGAAGTTGTCGTCGCACCTTCTGCTGTGAGCCGTCACTAATGATGGGGCAAACATAATTGCCACGCCCTACTGCGATTGCATTGCCTACCAAAAAAAAAAAAAAAAAGACAGACAAGAAAGCCAAACAAAGGGCGTTTGGCCTCTGCCTCATGACAGTGCGCGTACGCGAGGTATTGAAATGTTAATGAGGAAACAGACAGGGCAGACAGACAGACAGCAAGCCATAGAGAGGGTTGAGTGAGTAATTCGGGGAGTTGGCACTTGTGAAAAATTATGAACAGCAATTGGGGTTAAAAGGTGCAAAAGAACTAGAGAAATATCTGAAAAGAAATAAAAGGAAAATGAAATGCAAATGCAGAAAAAGCTTCAAAAATGATTCATTGTAAAATCATTTTTAATGTAGCTCCAATTAATAGGGTTCTCAGGTTCTTTTAATTATTTCCGTTAAATATTGCCCCCTAAAGCCGTTCCTTTCTGTCTTTTGTGCTTTATTTTCGTGGAAATCTATTCAAATATTTTTTATATTGCATCTATCCCAATGTCAAACTGTTTAAACCTCACTCGCAAAACATTTCATAGGTCCCCAAAAAATGTTCAGCTACTGAAAACAGTCAAATCGTTAGGAGGCTTTACCCGTAAGTACAATGGGGCTTTTAAGGGAGAGGGTTTTTTTTTCCACGTGTGTTACCATGTTGGTAACGAGGCTGATTAGCCTGTTAGCCTGTTAGCCTGTTAAGTGCGCTATTTTCCATCCATTCTTCTCGTGTTGGCAGTTTTATCTGGCGGTTATTATTGTCTGTCCAACCGTCCGTGCTGTGGATGCTGTAACCAACTGTAACCGACCCACCGAATGACTGACGGATTGATGATGGCTCTCTGATGGCTGTTGATGGCCCCCCCTGTTGACTGATAATGATATATGGCTATTGAAATGTCAAAATTAATAAGCCTTGATGGTCGTTTAATGAGCCGCCGTCGTCATCGTTTCGCCTGTGTGTGTGTGTGTGTGTGTGGTGTGTTCGATTGGTTTTGCGTCATCAATGTGAAAAACCGCTGCGCTTCTCATGTGTAAACGAGTTGTCTATTTGTCGGTCTGTCTGTCTGTCCATCAGTCTGTTTTCTGTCTGTTTTTGCTGGGTAGGTGGCCCCTCTGGTTCAGCTGTGAGATTTGATGAGCTGTGAGAAAATCTGACTAGACAGCGAACGGACGGAAGACTGCTTCGTTAAGGTTTCAAAACTCAAAAAATTACAGAAATTCCAAGAAATTATATGGCAGATCGCCAATTAAAGACACAAATTCCATAGCTTCGGCTTTTTCGCTTGGTTAATTTTATTGCCTGAAAATTGTTATAGACGTGAAAAATCTATGGAATCTATCGATGCTCCTGATATAATTTTTTATAAGGACCCTTGGCTGCCATCAGCTGCTTTCTTCTCAGCTTGTTGAAGGCCTCTGCCTGCTCCACGCTGTCCGACTGCTGAAGTGTGGGATAGCTAGACTTTTGCTTGGATTGCGTGTAGAAGGCCACATCATTGTCGCGCACCTCACCGAAGAGACGCCTGAAGAAGCTCGGCTTGCGCGGTGGCTGAAGCAAGGATTCCGAACTGACGATCGAGGAGCCTGGCGTGCTGGTTGCTGGTGTGGACTCCTCCACCTGTGGCTTGGCCTTGGGCTGCTTTCGCTTTGTGGAACGGTGGCGCATGAGATCGGCCAGGCGCTTGATAAAACTGCTGGCGCCACTGCCCAAAACACTGTCGATTTCCTCTTTGAGCTTCTCCGGTTCGATGTCCTTTTTGTGGTGCTTCTTGGCAGAGTGGTTTTGAGCCTTGTCCTTGTCTAGATCTTTATTTTGCTCCTTTAAATCGTTTCTCGAACGATTTTCCGTACCGATCTTTTGCTCTTCCCTGGTTTGGTTCGGTGGTTCTTCTTTATGAGGATCCTTTCGGGGATCCCTAGGGGGATCCTTGAGCAAATCTTTGATCAAATGTGGTTGCTGCGGCTTCTGCTGCTGCTGCTGCTGCTGCTGCTGCGGCTGCTGCTGCTGTTGTTGTCTTGTTTTTTCTTCATTCATTTTGGGACTAGAAGCGGGGTGAGTGCTGCGTGCCCCACAGCGTTGATACTCCAACTGTGCGTTGCCGTCCTCCTCGAAGCTGTTGATGCTGCCACACCAGCCGCAGGCGGTCTCCGGAAGCGGCACACTGCACTGCTTGTATGTCCTGCCACCGGCTGAGGTTCGGCTTTCATTATCTATTTTTTGGACTTGAAATTTGGGTCTGGCTCGTGTCTGTTGAGTGCTGTGCGGCAACGTTCCCGTGGACTAAAGATTGGCGATGGGAGGGAGGGAGGGTTAATCCTTTACTGAACGATCGCAAAAGGATGCTCTACGCACCTGCATGGACGCTGTGTTTGGTGGGGGATTGAAGTTCTGCGGCGGAATGCTATTTGGTGGCATCTGCATCCCGTAGCAGTAGCCGTAGCTCTGGCCCTGTGGCGGCTGACAGATGTACCACGGATGTACGTACATATTGGGCCCCATTGGAGGCGCTGGCTGTTGCATCTGGGCGATGTAGTATTGCTGCAACTGCTGTGCGTCCATATAGGGATACGTGACGGGAAAGGACATGGGCGATGCTCGCTGCTGCTGTTGCTGCTGCTGCTGCTGCAGTGGCTTTGTGGGTAAAGGACATGAAGCCATTGCCTCTCGATCGCCGTTTAATCGGATAGCCATGTTGATTGGTGTTTGGAAACAAGGAAAAACTTCAACTTATTCTTGACTTATTCTTACCTTGTTGTTGGGTTTATTTTTGATGGTATTTTTTTTTTGCTGTTAAATTATAAAAGTGAGCAAATGATTTTCCTGCGTTGGATCTGTGGGTGAATTTCCATTTGCTATTTCGTTGTTTACCGCCTGAACGGCATATTTGGGCCAACGGAAAGACATAGGATTTTGGTGTTGATTTTGATTTTGGTGGGAAGGTGGGAAGGGAAAAGTGTGTGTGTACTGAAAGTGTTTGCCGAAAAGGGTTTTGTTTTTGATTTTTTACAGTTAAATACGAGTAGTGTACAGTTTTCCAAAGGCCAGCCTAGGTTGTGTTTTTTTTTCCTTGAGAGAACACCCTTCAGACCCTCCCCCAAGATACGTATGTAGTACATGTTATGTACTACATATGCAAACATTTTTGTTCATGGAATTGGCAGAGAAAGATTTTAATTGTTTTTATTTGATGAATAGCAACAATCAACAGTAGAAAGATGAAATTATGCTTAAAAAAATGCATTGCTAGACGAAGATTTAAATACACTTAAAAATCGATTGCCCGTATTAAATCTAAATATAAAACTACTTCAAAATAAATTAAATATATTCAATTTGTAGGAAATATATTTAATCTAAGTATGAAAATTTTAATTTTAAATAAAAAATATATAAATTGTTTTTAAATATGAAATGTATTTATTTTATGTATTAAATATATTAAAATAAAATATTTTCATATTTATGTAACTGAAAACAACTCAATATTACAATATCCACGCTCGCAGAATATCCATTGGTATTAATTGTGTAACCTAAGTGTAAATATTAAAATTTCAGTCCATTTTTTGTTTTCCCTTACTGCCATGCAAACATCTGCTCAATATCGTAATACCCTTTCCCAAGGGCATAACAAACACATGTGTATGATCCCATTCCACCGCGCCCATTCTTTTCTCTGGAGGCAAACAATCTGTGCATTGAAATGAATTTCACTTTGTGGTGCAGTCGCCACGTTTTTGGGGTGGAAACATTGGGGTACACCTGCCACCCATTGTGCCTATATGTGCCTGTGCCTGTGCCCCTCTTTTCCTGCTCTCTGTCTGCTAATTAAAAGTTCAATGCGCAACATTTTCCCAACAAAGAACAACAACAGCGACTACAAGGGGCATTGACAATGACAACGTTAGAGAATGAATGGAGGGAGAAAAAAAAAGGTAAAGTGGCTGGAGGGGGTAGAGGAAGGGTTTCGTGGGGGGTACAACAAAAAAGAGCATGGCTAATTTATTTTTTTAAGTATTCCCTTTTCTTTCCCTTTCCATTTTTGCTGTTGTTGTCGTGGGGTGGACGCTGTGTCTGTGTCTCTTCGGATTTCATTGTGTACCAAATCGAGTTTTTAATTTTTTAATTAATTGCACAACGAAATATGCAAATTGGGCATTGGGCAACCGGAAATTGGGTAGAAAACCATTATGGGATTCGGTTTGAAAGAAGAAACCAAGGAAACCAACCACGAGAAAGAGTGGAAAAATGGCTTAAGTTGGAATAAAATGGCACTAAATAGGCAAATGGAAAGATTTTTGAATGTAGAAAGAAAGAACTCTGGTTTAAAGGCTTAAAGATTTATGATAGATCTTTTGCATGTTAAATAGGCTCACAAAAAGAATCTGGCGACTCTTCAGTAGAAGAAATTTTGGATTGATTTTCTATCTCTATCTTAATTTTCTACGAAAACTAATAAAAATGTAGTATGTATATTTTCCACGACCATCTTTTATATTTATTTTGTTCTGCATATGAAAATGTCAGATTTCCATTGTAACTAAATTTCTGGTATTATTAATCCCTTCCTATTCCTTTTATTCCCCTCAGAACTATCACTATCACATTGGCATGCCTTTTTTGCTCTTAAACACCCCAAAAATAACAGCAGATGTTCTTTACATTTCTTGATTTAATATTTATTCAAGAGAAATCTCCTTTCACCCACTTGTTCATATATATTTCAAGCAAATAAATCTCAAATTAACCGCAAACACTCACCCACACCACACCCCATGAATACGCACACACACACACATGCCACAACCCCGGCACCTCTCACTGGAAAATCTAATTACATTACGCACCAAACCGAAAAATGTGTCCCTCTGTCCTGAAATGGAGAGCCACCTCAGAGCACTGAAACCGCACATAAAAACCACATAAAATCACCTGCGTGAACGCCCACGTGCCACATGTGAGGGGGGGCACAATGAAAGGGAAAGGGTATGTGCCACAAGGGGGCACGACACGATTTTAATTTATGACCTGTGCTTGTGATTTTTGATGGAATATTTCTGGGGAAAATCACATCATCGTCCATAGGGTCCGAAAGCTGTTGACAACTCTCTACAGAGAGAGAGAGAGAGAGTGAGAGAGCGTGGGGAAAGGGGTGCGGTGCGCTGCATGTTCGATCGGTTCACAGGGCGAGTGATAAATTCCATCTATAATTACCAGGGGAATGTGCCTCTACCCCACTTCATATTCGAATAATATCCCAAGTTTGCACAGGGAGTCTTTTTTCTTCTTGGAATAATATGCTCCCCAATTTGTGGTGCGGCCTTTGTGTGCCACGTTTGTCTAGGGCAAAGTTCTGAGTGCTCCCCAGCGTGTATTTAAATTGATTTTAAATGAGAATAGAACCTGGAAAACTTTAAACCAATTATTAAATCGGTTTTTGGGTTTTATTTTTAGAGCGGAAACACAAAACATATTTTGGGAAGTATTTGAAAAAAAAGCGACAAATTTACACCAGTGCCGGGACTTGAGGGAGTTTTATTTCCACAAATTAATATTCATTTCCCTAATAGACCTTGTTAAACATTTATTTCTTGACTTTTTAGACTTTTTAATGCGTTTTAATGTTAAGAAATGCCGCAAAAAAAAAAATACAGCAAATCAGTGTCCATAAATTTAAATTAAATTTGTAGCCAAAAAAAAAAAAACAGGAAAAAGCGAATACTTTTACCATAAAAAAACCCATGAAAAGGGAAGACTTTTTTCATACGAAAACCCAAGAAAAGAGAACAATATTTTTTCCAAAGCAAAACCAGGAAGAAAGAAATGGCTTTTCCTTCAACAAAAACCAAGTAAAATGAATAAATGTGTTTTCCTTTTGCCAAAAGTAAATACAATTTGTAAATTTTGCCTTTTCTGGGTATTCGGAGGAAAAGCTTCGCTTCTGCTCGCCTGTTCGCCCGTTCGCGTCGCTTTTTGGAAAATGAATAATGTCGTTTGTACTTAATTTGAATGACAAATGTTCCAATGCCATAAACGTATTTATTACGTTTCGTTCAGCAGCAGGAGGAAATATGTATCTTCCGAGGGTGCATCTCTTTACTGGTCTCCTGTCTCCAAAGCCTGTCCGCTCATATATCTCTCTGGTGCCACCACGCCCCCTCCTTATCCTTGGGGCTGCTGCCATCAGCTGGCTTTTTGCTTCATTAATCGTTCAACGCTCTGTTGTATTTTTGCTTAATTATGTGAAAGAAAGGGGTGCCGTTGCTGTGGCAGCAGCACCTCCTTTCCTTTCCCCACTCTCTGAGGTGTGAGTTATTTGCTTTTGCTACTTGATAATTATGGTACATTAATTTCAATTTATTTGCATGACTGTTTCTCCAATGAATCTGATTAATTTGTTTATTGTTAATTAATATATTTTGCGTCTACTTTCTCTCTTGCAGCATAAAATCATGATTACGAGAAAATGCAGATAAAAATGTCGACGAACACCAATTGGAAGTCTCCGCAAAGTCTCTGGGCAGCTTTGTTTGTGGTAAGTAAATCAAAGAAAACTAAGTATTAGGCGGGCTTTAGGACAAATTCGAGTAGCTCTCATCAAAAACCACTTGTGGGAATAAAATTTAAAATTTCTGAAATTTCGAAACTTAAATATACAAATAATTGAAAACTTTCTATAAATTCTACAACTTTCGATGGCCTCATACTTCTTAGAAATAGGCTTTAAATTGCTTAGTAATATCCCAAATATACAGTACATATTTAATCTGTTAAAATGCCGCAGAATTTCGCAAAATGTTGTCTTGGAAATCAGAAAAAAAAGAACTCTTTAATGCATGACATAATCATAAAATCCACTAGGCCACAAAATTTGTGACAATTATAAACCTCAGGCTGTGGCCGAAAGCCTGACCCCCCCACCCCCTGCCGCATCATTTCACACCCCATCAAATGAGGGGCAAAATTTCATAAATTTTAAAGCAGCAGAAAGTCCCCCACGCTCCCACGCTTTTGGCTTGTCGGAAAATGTAATAAAGAATCAAATTACCAATCATTTTTTGTTCCTTGCTCGTTGCTAAACATTAAACCCTTTTCTCCCACAGACAGACAGAGAGAGAGAGAAAGTCCGATAAAGAGCGGGTGGGTAGATTGGGCGGATGGATACGTTTCCTTGTCCTTGACAGCAACACGTGCCGCTGTGTGATTGCGGATACTTTTCGAACCGCTTGTTGGAGTGAAGAGGGTAGAATGGGGATCGGGGATCCAATGGAGCGAAAACCGAAAGAAACCCGATTTGTAATTCAACCGATTCGATGGTCAAAAGCAGAGTCATTGCCTTTCTGGCCATAAAGGATTACTCTTTCGCTGTGTGTGTGTGTGGTGTGTGTGTGTGTGTGGGTAAAACTTAAGTCTTAATGTGGGTTGTGGAGGCGTGTCCTTAACTTGTTACTGTGTGCACATTACCATAATGTGTTTTATCTGCTCTGGATCTACTCTTCCCGTTGCAACAGTTAGAAATCACTTAAGAAGCTTCGTACTTTAACCGCCCCAATAATCCCGGAAAGTATCCCCTTTCCACCCACCCCCTTTGTCTTCCCCTTGTGTGTGTGTGTGTGTGTGTGCGACCTTTAGTTGTTTGTCCCTGGTACTGCTCCTTCTGCCTGGGTCGTCCTGGCATTTGGTTTCTTGCGTTGCGTGAAATTGCAAAATCAATCAATTCGATTACGTATACGTAATATTTATAAATATTTTATGCTAAGCTTTTGTTCGCATACTTTCCTCCTTTCGCTTCTCTTGTTCTCTGTCTCTTATTCTCTTATGTAAATTACGATTGTTTGGGCATGTGCCTCCCTTTTGGCGGTCCCAGTCCCACACTGTATATTTGTATTTGTTGCCATGCGGGCGCTTTCCACAGTTCGAGTTGGTTCTGATATGTAAATAATGCACAGCAACCAGGTACATGGGTTTACACACACACACGACAGGTACGATAGGGTTTGTATGCATTTACATATGTATTTGTATGTACTGTTGGACCGATG